GAAGAATACTTCGACGATGCTATGCGTGATGTGTTCATAACTGGACTCCAGTTTCATGTTATTCGTACGAGACTGCTGGAAAAACCATAACTGACTTTCCAGTCTGCATACGATATGGCAAGGTTCCTTGAAATTACCCAAAGCAGACGTGGTTATACGAAGCAGAGAGCGTTTCATGTGCGTTGATTAATGCACTTCCTCTGACCACTTCTGTCGGCTTCCAAAGAGGCGTTATTTTTGCGGCTATTCAAAAAAACCCACGTACCAAGTGCCCGCTAAGGACGTCGTCTGCAAAACCTATGGAAAAAACTGGACACTTCAAATGTGTGTAAATCTAAACCAACACATTCATCGATTGCATCTGCTCTTAGTCCCTCATTGTTCTCCACCTTCGCTGCCGCCGTTCCCACTCGTTTGTCCCGTGCCACTCCCACCGCTTTTGTTAATGATGTTTGACTTCAAGCATAGACAATAGTAGCTCCGATAGCTATGTATCCCATTCTATTGTAAATACTTATAATTAGAAAGTCCATCTTTGTGGCTCTAAAATTATCACGACTTCCATCTCTTTCTCTTGTGCTATCATTGGGTATTGTAACGTTGCCATCCGATGGCATGAAGTTTCCCATGAAAGCATACGATTTGCCGTGATGCACAATGTGTCGATGTACTACGTGGTCATAATTTTCTTGGTTTGTATGATCAAGTGGAAATACCGTTCGGTAGTTAACACGTTAACACGGCCATTTCTCACCTTTCCGATGACTAAAATTGAATCACCTCCCTTGTTCGCCCACCTATCTCCTGACTGTTAACCGATTGCTACCAAATCCGGAAGACGTTCAGCTGAAGATGAATAATTCATTAGGTCGGAGGTGCAACTACTTTTCATCTTCAATCTTAGGTCCTTGTTAAAAAAACGCCAATCACAACAAACGAATGGTTGTTGATTATAGCCAGCCGATAAACCGCTTCACTCAGCTAGATGCTGACAGAACGATTGAACACCCGTGAAAATCAAATGAAAATTGTATTTAGGATATTCAATGGGTGCGTTTTTATTGTAAGCCTATCGTATCTCTTCCCTCTACCAGTTGTGCTACCCCGAATACGAACTGTAGTCTGATCTCTTCTAAACCTACGGTAACCTTAGCACGAGACATACTAAACAAATTTCTTGCTTATTGCTGCATTAACTACTTACATCACACAAGCGGAAGCTGTTGCGTCCTGAATGAAAAACAAACCGGGTAGATGCGCTGAACATCCACGATTCGCAGGTTTTGCTAAAAACAAGTTCATCAAACATCCTAGGGTCTTGGTTCAAGTGGACCTCTTTGCGAACCCAAANCCCAAACAATAAGGTACACTTAGGCTACTCTGGGGATTCTAGAATGCGATTATTAGATCGAACGCAGGGATAATTACTAGGGTCAAAGCTATTGCACTAGAGTCAACTCCTACTGAAAATATACTACGTGCACCGAAGCCCTCGAAAGCCTCAGTATGGTCTGGGGGCGGGTGTTTCGGGTTAAGGCTGACCATCCAACCCTTGCACTTTACGAAATTTCCCTATTTGACCAAACGTCACAAATAGTCTCTGCTGAGGAAGCCCCACTCATTACCTTCCCGTGGCGGAGGTGCTATCCCATCAAAGTGAGAGGACGAAAAGCCAACATTCGGGTCGATGAATGACTGGTAGTTCACCTAAGGAAACCAAACAAGAAGAGGCGGACGAACCACATTCACCTACGCCTTGGTTGTGGCAGTGGTCTACAGGTCGATTGAGTATCAGGATACGTTGGGCAACTTGGACGCTTGACCCCGTCCAAAGAACTAGATACCGGCCTCCAACAGATTATGGTTTTCACACACCACCCCGCTTGTGAATTCCGCAAGAAAATTCATCAGCCCTGGCCTCGATAATCTGCTAGTATTCCGCTCACAAACAAATGGAACTTTCTCCTCTTATAAGATCGCTGACAGCCTGGACTCAAACGTGTGTGAAATGATGACAGGAAGAAAATGGGAATGGTATGTATATATATATATATATATATATATATACATGGATCGCAAAATTATGAAACGTAGTATAGATACAATAGACCCGATAATTTAAATGATAAGTAGCCAATGAGCTGCAGACCTGAAAATAAAATAAACATCGAACGCTTTCTCCAATGGGTTGACAGACGTCAATGAATTCCTTTCATTGGCTACGCCGGTAGTCACTCATATCTGAGACAATAAGGTCAAGAACAAACAGGTTGCATCACATTAGAAAGGTGAAAACAAAAGTTCACAGGTGGAAACAATCATTAATAGATAAAGAAATCTATTCAACCAGATCCGAATAGTCAAGTGAGGGGGGGGGGGAACTCACCCAGAACCATGTAAGGCACATCCACAATCCCCACCACTCCACGACACATCATGCTCGAATCTTGTTGTGGTCCGATACGTTGATACATTTTTATCAGTCGCGAGCAATTGTATACAAACATACCATCGCAAGCGCGATTCATGACATTCACTCCAAAATAAAACGTCAGCGTTTTAGGATCCCGAATGGACTTTTGCTTTCTCGCGACAGCATTCTGACGTACGGTAACGAGATTGCGCAGTTCAGCGGCTGTCGTTCGGAGTCGACGAATTTGGCGCTAAAACGGAAATATGACCGCCGAAAATAGTTTGTGTTGTTGTCAAATGCAAGGATGAACTAAGATAAATGACAATTAACCAATTCAACGGTACTTAGAGGACCGTTTTTCAATAAAAACTATGAAGAAATGATCGCATTGATGACAGACACTTGATAGACCTTTGTTACTTAACGGAAGAAACAAGAAACGAATTGGATATCAACATGATCGGAGAACGTGTCATCACAAAGCTTCCAATACTTTTAGGCAATTTGAGATTCAGTATATTATGCAACGTTTCGGGTTTTTGTTCGAGGAGGGCAGTTTCTTGTTCAAAAACAGTTAGGAAATGCTAACAGTCTCAGAAAAACAGAAGGATCAGTAGACAACGGATCTTCCAGCTGTTTCAAGTTGTTAAAATTTCATCCGAACTCCATTCACAGAACTATTCTAGTTGACGTCAAGTTGACAACCACTGGTCGAGTAAGGAACTCCTTAGTCAACCTCAGAGGTGTACAACTTTGTCCGTATACATAGAAAATGCGACGATTAGGGAATGCTAAAAAATAAGGGTGGCAAACACCTGATCATTTCTCACTCAACCAGTAGGTTAAGATTAGAATGAAGACCAGTGAAACGGAAAACGTGAGATTGAGAAAATCAGGAAAATGCGTTGGTGGGGAAGCTGTGGTGAAGGTTTTACTAACCAGGTGTTCGGGGTCTTCAGAGCCTTGATAACGGAGCTCACAATCGCGTGCTTTGCTTTCAGCCTCTTGAGCACGTAACTCAGCTAGGGAGGCAGGAGCAACGGATAAAGCAAAAGAACAGGAAAAATTATTAGAAGTAATAAGGTGCACATACGTGCTGCATGGTCAACATGAGTTCAAAAAAGCGAGTTAGGATGACAAGAAGGAACTGGGAATGGTTTTTAGGTATATATACCACCAGGTTGTGAACAAGCATGGCGAAAGTGCTACAGTACTAATGGTAATATAAAACAAAGAATTACAAAAAAAAAACCAACAATTACGGTGTTCTTTTTGTTTGTTCCATCGCACACTTTTTCATATTTTACTTGTTTGACCATTTTTATGAGGCCGGGAATTTCAGGAGAACGTAGAGTGTTCAAGCCACTGAGTTCTATTCTGAGCGATATCTCTTAGTGTCTCTAATTAGCGACAACCCGTATCCTTCGGATACCAATCTAGGAGGCGACCTGCATCAACCGAAGTCATTTTGTTACGCCAGGTTAGGAACGCGAAACTTCCTTCAACCTTTCCCAGCACGTGTACAGATATCACGGAGGTCGACAGTGTGCGAACAGGCAAAACATGACCGAGCCATCAGAGGTGGTGTATGGAGCGATTTCCACCTCCAGAGAACGTCTATCCGCACCCGACAAACGGTGTCGAACCTAGTCACTGCTCGACCGCTGCTCCTGACAAACATCAGTTGAATACAGAAAGTTCATTAGCATCCACAGAACAGACAGGCCGGGTCTCGTAACCGCAAATCAGAACAGTGCGAACCGCGGATATTTACACCGATCTCAGTGTATTGACCACATCTTCACACTTCGTCAAACTCTAGAACACAGACACTCCTTGCGTAGACCCACCATTTCTATCTTCCTCAGTCTAAAAGCGGCTTTAGACTCAGTCGACCGCTCTAAACTCCGGCGCCACCTTTCTCTGAACGGAGTGATCGAGAAGATAAGCGCAATATTACAATCGTTTTATTCTAATAGCAGAAGCCAATCCGAGCTTACGGCACGGAAAGTGGTGTTCGACAGGATTGCCAACTCTCTCCGTTTCTATTTAACATCGCGATAGATTCAATTCTTGAAACAGCC